CACCTGTTGTATGTCTGGCACTGGGACCAAGGTAGATGTGGCCCTGTCCTTGGGAACTGACATTCTAGTTGGGAGATGGGTAGCAGAAAGTGCCTGGGGGGCAGAATGGGGAGCCTATGGTGGCTCCCTGTGGTGAAATGTTCCATGGCCTGGCCCACTGAAGGTCTGATCAGGAACTTGAATTTGTGCCAGTTGTACGCGTGGAACACAATGTTATTATGAATGAAATTGAGCAGCTCCTTAGGTGTTTCCTGTTTCTCTGATGATAGGAGTATTGACCTCTAGGGTTGATTTCTAGGAGTTCTTTATTAATTAGGGAGATGAGCCGTCTGTGAGGCGAGCAGCTGATATTTCCCCATTTCTAGTCTGTTTTTTGACTTTGTAGACATGTTGGAGGGAAGGGCAGCCGTGAGATCAGGTGACTGGCAAGTGCAGACACCATGTGGGCTGAACTCTCCCTGCCTGAATTTAACTTGTATTTACTTTCTGATCAGATAAAGCATACCAGGATTACAAAATTTTAAGACAGCAAAAGTCAGAAGTGAAAGCCACGGTGGTTGGGGGTGAGGGGCAGGGCCAGTGCATCCTAGACATTTAGGGACAGCTGGGGAGCAATGTCAGTTTGCACCAGTAAGTCCACACAGGGTGATCTGTTTCTGTCTGCATATAAGACCCCCCCAGTGTTCAGCAGATGGAGGAAGGTCCCCAGGAGTCCTGCCCCCCCACCTTGGATGGCCCAACCTCTTACCCAAGTGCTCTTTTTTTTTTTTGGCTTGTTTCTGAATTCTCTTTATTACTCCAACAGTTCACACTACATGCAGCTATAATTTGTCATTATTCCATATCATATTGTTCTTTATCAATTTACCTTTTTTAGGAGAGGGTCATCAGAGGTTCTACTACATATATCACAGTAATATCTAGCAAAACTTACATATTAAGCAATGGAAGTTAACATTGGTTGAATGCCTTAACAATGACCAAATCTGCCTGGTTTTTTCCCATGGAAAAACTGTCTTGTTTATTTGATTAAACAAAAATAAAATAAGCTCCAAGTACTTACTTTTGATTTGCATCATGCAGCATCTCAGTGGGGACAATGGGCAAGGAAGGAGACACTGCACCTGACCCCGACTGGGCAAGGGAGTGCCCAGGGNCCTGTTTTTTTCCCATGGAAAAACTGTCTTGTTTATTTGATTAAACAAAAATAAAATAAGCTCCAAGTACTCACTTTTGATTTGCATCATGCAGCATCTCAGTGGGGACAATGGGCAAGGAAGGAGACACTGCACCTGACCCCGACTGGGCAAGGGAGTGCCCAGGGTCCACCCTTTGAGTGTCCACCGGCCACTCACAGGGTGGGATCTGCTGCCCTTGCTTGCCTGGAGCACCCATCCCAAGGGGCACGGGATCCATCTGCCAGGGAGTGGAGCCCCCATAGCAAATCCTGCACTTAGGAGATCCTGTCCTTGTTGTACAGGGGCAAGGTCCAGAAATCTGCTGCTCTTGATCTCGGAGGGAGAGCAGTGAGCAGTCCTGAAGAGAGATCTTAGCTCCTTGTCCAGAGATTGAACCTGGCTAGCCTGGGTGAAAATCAGGAATCCTAGCAGTTTGATCACCAGGGGCTAGAGACTAGAAGCAAAGTGGCCCTGGTCTTTTCCCCTGTTTGAAAGCAAGCATGTTTCAAGGAGACAAAAACTGTAAAAAATAGGTACAAAGTATATTTTTAGAGACACAGTACAATGTATGGGAGAGCACACAGGAAAACAGTTTAAGTCAGAAGCAGGGCAGAGATACAGGAACCCAAAGTGAAAAGGTATGATTGTCCTCTCGGTGAGTCAGAAACGAGGCAGAGAGAGAGGGTATGGGGATCCTGAAAGAGGAAGAGTGCAAAAAAGAGGTGACGTAAATCACCTACATAGGACAGTCCTTCTGGGTCTCTGCATGTGTGCTCAGTCGCTTCAGTCGTGTCCAATTCTGCAATCTCATGGACTGCAGCCCGCCAGGCTCCTCTGTCCATGAGATTCTACAGGCAAGAATGCTGGAGTAGGTTGCCATTTCCTTCTTCAAGGGATCTTCCGGACCCAGGAACCGAACCCATGTCTTTTATGTCTCTTGCATTGGCAGGTGGGTTCTTTACCGCTAGCACTACCTGGGAATGTTAATCACTTATATAGGACAATCCTACCTTTGGCCAATTATGTTGTTCCTTTCTTCACACCTAACTGGAACTTGGATCCTCCCCAAGATGCCTTGTGCAACTTTCTTCTAAGCTGGATCCCACTGCAGAAGTTTATGGGTGCATGTCCACACTTATAATGGGGTGGAACCCCTCCCTTTTCAACTCCCAAGAACCCTTCCTGCACATGTGCAGAAGAGTCTTCCTTGACCTCACGAGAGGGCACCTTGTCTCTCTACTTCAGCAGAGCTCAGCTTTCACCACTAGTTTTGTCCTTGGAATGTCTGGGTGAGAACAACGCTTAAATTTTACTTCACTTGACAAGTACCAGGTGCCCAGCCCAGAGGCCCATCTAACTCCTACCTCATTCTGAGTCTCAGTTTCTGCATCTGTCCCTCGGTGGCAGTGGCATAGAATGCTGGCCACCCAGGAAGGAGTCGAGCCTGAGAGCCCCCCTTCCCCACTGTGTCCCCTGTCCATCTAGACCCCAGGCTTATGGCACTGACATTACTTCTGAAACTGAGCAGCGTCCTGTGAGGCTCCCAGGTCCACAGAGAGCCTTTTGGTCTGCCACTTTTTGAAGGCAAGACTATAGGCTTCTCTGAGTTCCAAAGGGGAGATCTGAACAGTTGTTAATCAGGGAGGAGCACTAGAGACAAGATTAAAGGGACCAGAGAAGCTCATCAAGGTTAGGAGCCCAGATCACCTGAGATCCTGCACACACCCTAATCTTGTCAGCAACTTAACTCTTTGAAACTTTGCAGAAGAAAGAATGCATGACTGTTCCTACCTTGATCCTACTACTATCAAGTATCTCTGCCTGACTATAAGAGCTCTCCCTATCCCCCAAGGAGGGTGGCACAGTTCTTGAGGCACTAGCCTACTGTGTTCCCTCTTTGCAAAGAAATAAAGCCACTCTTTCCTTCTCCTCCATAACTTCGTCTCTGTATTTCTGTTCAGCATGGGTACACAGAGAGTCAAGATTTTTACATCACTCTTAGAAAGGAACTGAGAGAAGTAAATGCTAGGAACCATTGACTTTTGAAAAACACACAGGACTTTCCTGGTGGTCCAGAGGTTAAGAATCTGCCTGCCAATATAGGGGACACGGGTTCCATCCATGGTTCAAGAAGATTCCACAAGCCAAGGGGCAACTAAGTCCATGCTCCACAACTATTGAGCCTGTGCTCCAGAGCCCAAGAGTTGCAAATTCTGAGCCCGCGTGCCACCACTACTGAAGCCTGCAAGCCCTAGAACAGTGCTCTAGCACAAGAGAAGCCACTGCAATGAGAAGCCTGTGTACTGCAAATAGAGAGTAGCCCCTGCTCACCATAATGAGAGAAAGCCCTCTTGCAGCCAAAAATAAATAAATAAAAACATACAGTCTTAAAGTTGCCAGTTATGCTTTCTTTATTCAGAGACCTTAGTGAAGACTATAGGCTCTCAGCTTTGAGAAAGTGTTCTGTGAATGAATAATGTTGCCTGCCATATCAGTAAACATAAAAAGATGCTGGAGCCATCAGTCATTACCACTGCCCCTTACGGTGAGAACTGGGAACTCAGGATGCAGACAAATGAGCTGCCGCTCCCCCAAACCCTCAGCAACTGCAGCCGCTCCCATCAATGCCCAATAAGGGGACTCAGAATGGGAAAGAAAAGGATCATGGCCATAGATAGCTATGGTGCATATAAAAGGGATGATTTCAATGAACCCAAACTCTTGCATCTGCCCATACAAAGAAAAGCAACAAATTCATCAACTTGAGATATCTGGTTTTATTTATTAAACAGTAAACTTCTGATGTTTCAACTATCTGGTCTTCCTTGCAAAACTTCTATATATCCTGGCTCTTCCCTTACCTCTTTGGAGCTATCTGAGAGACTACCTCCTAGTATTGAAGTCCTTAGAAAAAGTTTGGCAGATGAAACAGAGCTCAGTTTTCAGCTGACTGTTTCAAAGTTAAGAAGGAACCAGGATACACAGGAATTTTGCTAAAAGAAAAAAAATAAAATCCACAAAGAAACTAAAAAACCCATGCAGTTGAACATCGGAAGATTACTAATTACAAAAACAGACACTTCAAGCTAATGATCTTAGTGCTTTACTATCTTTGGGAAGATGCAAGAAAGTGGGTTCATTGAAATTATTCCTTACATACACATCTCAACTATCTGAGGCCAGTACCTTGTTTTTCTCCATCCTAAATTCCCCCCAAAGCGAGTGGTACAGAGGCAAACGGCTTAATAGTGGGTATCATTTACCTTTACCGGGATGGCAGGCAACATTTTTTATCTGCAGAGTCATGATCCAGCAAGAATGATGCAGAATAATGAGGGGGTCAGGCCAGTTCCACTGGTGGGCAGGATGCCCCTCCCTCTGGGAGGACGGCGCCCTAGGACCTGGAGCAGGCCTGGACTTCCGCTATCACCCCCAGGTCATGTTACACAATNAGTGGGGGCGGTGTTTAGAGTCAGGACACGGTGGTGATTTATCCCAGAGCAGCGGGGGCGGAGCTCAGTGAGGGGCGGAGCTGAGGGCACCTCCTATGGGCGGGAGAGAGGCGCAAGGCTTTCGGAGGCCCGGTAACTAATGAGGACCGAGCGAGGGGCGGGGTTCAGCGTTGTGGTCGCGACCTAGTTAAAGTCTGCAAGGGTGGGGCTCAGTGAGGGCAGGGTTTAGAGCCCTCGCGTTAACAAAGACTAGGCCCTGGATTCCCGGAAGGGCGGACGCAGTGAGGGGCGGGGCTAAGGGCTCTGCGGCGTCCGTAGCCCTAGCGTTAGGAAGCTGGACTGAGGCGAAGGCTGGTGGTTTTAGACCCTACGGCAGCGCCGCCGACGCCATGGGCGGGGCCTAGCGGGAAGGGGCGGGCTCAGTGAGGGCGGGGTTAGAGCTTAGTTAGCAGAGAGGATACCAGGGGCGGGGCCCACCGGGAAAAAGCGGGCCAGAGCGGGAGGCGGTCACCGGGGCCCACGGGCAACGCGCGGACAACCACACGGACTAACAGCGGCAGGGGGACGGGTCGGGTCGCCCGAATGCACGGCGTGCCGCCGCCATGACAGGTGAGCGCGGTCCGGGGTCGTGCCTGCCATGCGGGGACAGGCACGAGGCCACGGTGGCGCGTAGGGTCCGAATGTCCCGATACCACTCCTCGCTGTGACGGCGAGTGACCTTGCCCGTGACTGCGTGCCCTGTAGACAGGACGACGGCAGAGCGGCGCGCGGCCCGGGGCTGTGTTCTTTGGGGGGCGAGGCCAGGCCGGGTCTGGGAGGGTGCTTGGGGGCGGGGGCCATGGACAAGCTCTGGAGAGTTCTGGTGGGCAAAGCCACGTCAGGCCCTGGAGGCTTCTGAGCGTTAGGGGCCGAGCCTTGGCGTGTTCTGGGCTGTGATGCCAGGTCAAGCCGTGGAAGGTTCTAGTGGGCGGGGACCAGGTCTTGGGTGATTCCAGAAGGGCAGGGGCCAACGTTCTGTCTGCAGGTGGGGAGCTGCTGGGGTGAGGATCTGTGGCCTGGCAGTGGGAGGTGAAAGTAAAATTGGTGTTAAGGAATACTCTCTGGGGTTCTACTGTGCTTCGGAGAGATAGAAACTCCTGATAAAAGGCTGTGTCTTCTATTAGGAGTCACCTGAGGAGACTGCCCTTCCTGGGCAGTGTGTGGTTCCTGTGGGACTCTGGTATCTCCCAGGCTGCACCCCTTGTCCAGGGACAGGCCCAAGGGAATCTTGCACACAGACTCTGTCTCCCAAGGCTTTGTGCCCCATCTGGACTGCCCCAGCCCCTCCAGCTTTTTTTTTTTTCCCTGTAGAATGCAGTTCCCAGCCTAGCCATCCTCCAAGGGCCTCTTGGAATGGGGACCCACCCACCACCTTCCTGATCCTGAGCAGAGTGACCCTGCTCTGTGGACCTTTCCCTGTAGGAGAAGCTCCATGAGAGTAACAGGCTGGTGAGAGTCCATGACAGTGTAATCAGGGAGTGTGGTGGCTTCCAGAAGCCATACCTTGTATCAGGGAATGCTTCTGAGGAAAAAGTCACTTAGGGTGACTCACAGGGTGTGGGAGGCCCCTGAAGTCCCTCTTCTCTCCCTAGCTGTCACTGGAGTCCCAGCCTAAGTCCCACATACAAGTAAGATTTCATGGGCAGGAACCTGGTGATTTCCAGGACACCAGTGTACCAGCCTAATTCAGAAGAGACCCCCAGGTACTACTCACTCCCCTGTCGTCTCTCTGAACTGTTTTTATCTGTGGCTGCTATTTCTGAGTAAAGTTGATCCTCTGACCTAGGGTTTCAAATGTGACGGTTTCAAATATATGGATTTTTTTTGATGCATACGTACTACTGCCTGACCTGAGGTTGGCTGAATTCTCAGATGCAAAATTATGGATACGGAGGACTGACTGTAAAGTAATGTGTGGATTTTTGACTCCTCAGGGTCTGTCCCCCAATCCCCTCACTGTTCAAAGGTCTATTGTACCTACTGTGCATCTGGCCCTGCATCAGGTGCTTCCTACTCAGGCCTGCTGTATGGGGAAATACGGAATATCTCTGTGTGAATGAGAAAACAAAGACTCAGCTTGGCCAGGTGCCCTAGACCGCTGGGGCAGTCAGTGGCAGAGCCAGGACTAGACCTTGCCCAGGGCCACCAATCCCTCTTCTCCCTGCTGTCTCTGTGTTCTGGGCTTCTAGAGATCTCTTCCCTCAGAGCTGTTCATTTTGGGGATGGGGAACTAGGGCCCAGAGAGTACAGACCTGGGAGGCTGTAGGTCCCAAGTTCCTGGCTTACTGTCTCCATGCACCAATAGCAACCTGTCTTGTCCTGGGGCCTTTATGAAGGGTCGCAGAGTGAGCGTGTGGAGCCTGATGCATCTTCGCAGGGCCCGAACTGACCAAGTATCACTGTAGCAATTACTGTTGCTGCAGAACCAGCCCCTTCCTTGTGGTGTGCTGGGGAGTAGGCCGTCTCAGCTCCATGCCTGAGGCCAGGTTGGACACTGGGACAGGAGGGGATTCTGGGAGATTCAATTTGGGAGGGGAGGTTGAGGCCCAAGCATCTGGACTTTGATGGGGGTGGTGGTGGTTGGGGAACTCCGGAAAGTCTCTTGAGAGGAGGACAGTGAGTGTGAGTTAGCCAGGTGGAAACCATAGGAAGAGGTGGTCTCGTCCCTGGGAATCCAAGGCAGAATGATGCAGTTGGGCGTTGGTGTGCAGGGTTGGCTCAGGGGCTGGGAGACCTGGTGAGGGCAAGTGAGGCCAGCTCCCACAGGGCCTCCAGTGCCAAGGCAGGCTAACAGGTTGGCCATCCTAACCATGCTTGTGGTGCCAGGAGGGCAAGATGATGGGGGAGGGGGACTTCCGTGGTCACACAGTGGATAAGAATCCCCCTGCCAGTGCTGGGGGCACGAGTTTGATCTTTGGTCTGGGAGGATTCAACATGCCACGGAGCTTCTAAGTCCATGCACCACAACTGCTGAGCCTGTGCTCCGGAGCCCATGAGCCTCAACTCCTGAGCCCATGTGCCGCAGCTGCTGAAGTCCACCTGCCCTAGAGCCCACCCGCTGCACCTACTGAGCCTGTGTGCCTAGAGCCTGTGTTCTGCAACAAGAGAAACCACTACAATGAAGAGTAGCCCCTGCTTGCCGCAACTAAAGAGAGCCTGCATGCAGCAGTGAAGACCCAGCGCCCCCCAAAGAAAAAAGCGACGATGGGGGAGGTAGGGCTTAGCAAAGGTTGCTGGCGAAGGTCTGGTGAGTTTTTATGCCAGCGCATTCCTCTTCCTCCTTCCTTAAAAACTATCTGGGACTGTCACTTGGGACCAAACTGGTTTCCTTTCTGTGCTTTGTCATGCCTGTGAATGGCCGCCCGGGTGTGGTTTGTGTGCACAGCTCTCAAATGGCCACAGGAAGCATGGGGCACGGCAGAGCCCAGAGCTGTGGTCCCCAGGCTATGCCATTATGCCCAGTGACGCACAGCTCCAGGCAGGGGAGGGCCCCCTGGCTGGCAGCCTGCCGGGGGGTGGGTGGAGCCACTGCAGAAGAGCTGGTCACTGTCCACTGACAGCCCTTGCCCTGAGCCTTGGGCCTCTGTGCATTCGTTCCCACACTCTTTAGTGAGTGCTCCGTGTGTGCCAGCCCTATGCACAGGTGCGCACGCTGGCTGCGCTGGGCAAGACAGCCCATGGCTCGGTCAGGAGCAGACAGGATGCAGCTAAATTGCGTGATTATTTAGTAGATTGATCAGAGAGGCAGAAATGGGCCCCAACACTGTGTCTGGGTCCTGAACTCAATCCATCACTCTCCAGCTGATTGAGGTCTTGAGCAGGTACCTTATCTACTTATGGTGCCTCAGTTTCTCCTTCTGAAAATGAGGGTAGTGGTCATGCTTGTGTAGCAGAGCTGATGGAAGAATGATGATGCATAGAGCTCTCAGAATGCCCAAGCATGGGTCCCAGTTCATGAATTATGGCCAATATTGTTAACTCTTTAATCAGAGAGGCTACAGGTGATTAAACCAGGTGGTCAGGAGGGTCCTGCCACGTGGTGGTGATAGGTGTTTTTGCATCCCTGTCCATGACTTCTTTACCATGTTGGAGCTGCTGACAAGTCTGTCTTCAAAATATACTTTCAGAGACTGGGAGAATCAAAAGTTAGAAATTCTTATTCTACGGGAAATAGACCATCCAGGAGGAGGTAGTATCAGGAGAGAGAGATGAGAAGGTAAACAGTCTATTGAGTTGGGCCCATGGAAGAAATCAGGCGGAGGCCCCACTTGTTCTAACTCAATGACCCTATATTTTAAAAATCAACTTTATTGAGGTACTGTTTACTTATAAATACACTCATTTTTAGGGAAAAATTCTCTTTAAGTTTTGACAAACGTATATACTCATGGAACAACTGACCCAGGCCAAATCAAGCTAGAATGTTTCTGTCACTCCAGAAAATCCTTCATGCTCCTTTCCAGTGAACACCACCCAATCCAAGAGTTCATCTCCTTTCTGTGACTGTCGTTTTGATCTTTAAAATTCAATAGTGGAGGGTTTCCCTGGTTGCTTAATGGTAAAGAATCTTCCTGTCAATGCAGGAGACATGGATTTTATCCCAGAACTAGGAAGCTCCCACAAACTGCAGAGCGGCTCCGCCCTTGTGCCACAACTGTTGAGCCCGGGAGCTGCAACAGCTGAGCTCCGCGCAGCCTAAAGCCCACGCTCTGCAACAGGAGAAGTCATTGCAATGAGAAACGTGTGCGCCGCAACTAGAGAGTTGCCCCTGCTCAGCGCAGCCGGAGGAAAGCCCGCACAGCAGTGAAGACCTAGCACAGCCAAAAATAAAACAAATAAAATTGTAAAAGAAAAAAAAATTCAACAATGGAACTTCCAAATAGTATTTCTTATTAATTACTAGAATTTATTTTTGGAGCATTTTTAGTTTATAGTCAATCGAGCAGATAGCACAGAGGGCTCCCCCCACCCCGTTTCCTCTGTTATTAATATCTTGCATTTGTATGGTTGTTACCTTAATAAGCCAATAGTGATACAGTATTATTAATTTCAGTTGTTACTAACTAAAGTCCATATTAATACGATGGTTCATTCCTTGTGTTGTATACTTTATGAGTTTTGAATAATTCATGATGTCCTGTATCCACTATTACAGTATCATCCAAGAAGTTTTACTAGGTTAAACATCTGTGCTCCATCTATTTATCCCTCCCTCTTCCATAACCCTTGGCAACTACTGATCTTTTTACTGTCGCCATTGTTTTGCATTTTCTAAAATATCATATACTTGGGATCATATAGTTTATAGCTTTTTCAAATTGGCTTCTTTAACCTTTAACAAAACTCATTTGTTTCCTCAATGTCTTTTTGTAACTTTGTAGGTCTTTTTATCACTGGGTTATATTCCATTGTAACTTATTAAACTGAACCACAGTTTAATATATTATCCACTTACCTTTATATGTATTTTGTTGTTCAGTCGCTAAGTTGTGGCCGACTGTTTGCAAGCTTGCTCAGGCTCCTCTGTCCTCAACTGTCTCCTGGAGTTTGCTCAGATTCATGTCCATTTA